CCTGGATTAGATCCTGAAACAGAAAAGGACTATTAGTAAAGAAAGTAGCAGTTTTCAGTGAAGGCTGAAGTTTACTGAAAGTAATATACCAATGTTGATTTCTTAGCTTGACAAACGTCCATAATAATGCAAGATGTTAACACTAGGGAAAACTGTTCTTTCTCAACTTTTCTGTAGCCCTAAAGTTATTCCAATATAAGAAGTTGATTAAAACAGGCACAAAAGAGAAAAAGTGAGCCAGTGATCTCAAAGAAATCAACAGAAAATAAATGTTGCAATAAGAGTCAACCTTTCAAGTGAAAATGACATTCTGCAAAATCTATAAATGCCACCGTGTTTAACAGTTCCCAATACTTAAATTTTTCAGGAGTGGCAAGTGTTGATATTATTGTGATTTTTGGATACTATATAATGAAATGTTACCACATTTGAATTATCTGCATAATTTCGTAAGTCACTATTTGTTAAGCACGTTACAAAATCACAGATAGGTAAAAACACTCAACTTAAATGCAAGAAAGACCAGTGGATTTTAATGCAACAAAGTTACAGGGCTTCAGATTCTACAATATAACTTACCTTTGAGAAACTACCACTTGTTGAGTACTGGAGTGGTATTAAAGAAAAATATCCACCATTATCTAAAAAGGTTTTTAAAGTCCTGTTCCCTTTACTATCTACATATCTGTGTGAGATAAGATTTTCTCCATACTTAAAGTAAAACTACATACAGCAAGAAATTGAATATGGGAGTAAATATGATTATACAGGTATCTATTAAACCAGACATGAAAGAGATTTACAGAAATGTAAAACAACAACACCCTCCTTCCATCAATTGCATTTTTAATAAGTTTTACTAGAATTAACATAAATAACATGGCATTTGTTCATTTTTAAATTATTTTAAAATGAATATTTCAATTTTTCAGCTTTAATTTTGGCTATAGTAATAATCGATAATCTCTATAAACAAAACTCTTTGAGGTCCTTAACAACTAAGAATCCAAAGGAGTTGTGAAAACTAAAACACTTGCGAACTGCTGACCAAGAGCAACACTGAAAAACTAAAACAATATTATATCTAATAAGTTAAAAATGAAGACAAAATAAAGTATAAACTATTCATTTAATCACACACCAAAAAGGGGAGGCCAGGGGAAAAAAGACCAGATGGAATAACTTAAAATGAAATAGCAAGATAATAAATTTGAGCCAATAATGACATTTTTTTTTAATAGTATAAGCTCTCTTTTTACATGCTTTCTTTTTTTTTTTTTTTTTTTAAGATTTATTTATTTATTTATACAAGCACTGGGTACAGTCAGAAGCACGGGAGGGTGAGAGAATTCACCAGAGCCAGAGCGGGCAGCAGAGCAGGCAGAAGGACCGAAGTACACTGCTGAGGGGAGCAGCGGGCGGCAGGAGAGGTCTGCGCACCATGTGGGACCCTCCTCCGGTGGCCGGGGAGCAGCTGGGGTCGAACCAGCGCCGCAGAGGCCGCGGGCAGCTTCACAACCCAGCTCTCAACCGCTGCGCCACCAGGGAGGCCCAATAATGACATTTTTTAAAAAGCAGATGGGATTAGACAGCATATAACAGATTCAAATATATGTTGTACCAAAAAAAAAAAATTTAAATATAAAGACATAAAAAGTAAAGGAGAGAAAAAAAAGTATCATGCAACGCTAACTAAAAAGCAAGCTGCAGTGCCTAAATTAATGACACCAGACAAACCATCTCAATAAGAATTATTACCAAGACAAAAAAGTTTGATACTAAATTAAACCTGAAAAATTATGGTGCTGGTGTTCAAAAGATTAATGAAAAATATTTCCTTCCCACCTCTCCCCCAAAAAAGACAAGCATTAAGAGGTTAATTCAAGACATTAAAACAAAGTTTCAAAATACATGGAACAAAAGGAGAAACAGCCAAGTAGTTTATAGTAAAGATTTTATTACTCTTCTGTCAGTGACTTATTGAACAAGTGGACTGAAAATATAAAAATCATACAAGACTTGAACAACACTATCATCTAACACAACCAAATAAATATGTATAACAACATTCACCTACCATCTGCAGAATATATATTCTCTTCAAAAGAATATGCTATACCTGGGGCATCCCAACCAGAAATTACAATGTATATGACCATAATGGAAAAATTAGAAATCATTTATAGGACTATATCCAGAAAATTCTGAAATACTTGAAAATTAAAACAACACACTTCTAAATAATCATGGTAAAAGAACACAGAAAAAGAGAACACATTTTGAACTGCATGAAAATGAAAATACTGAAACTTGTAGAATGCACCTAAAGCATGATTACAGGGAAATTTATAGCTTATTAAATACACTTACATGAAAAAAAGATGAGTGATATAAACTCCATGAAGGATATAAAGTGATACAAAGTCAATATGTGGGAAAAAAGCAAAACCAATCCAAAGCAGAGGAAAGGACTAAAGAACAAAAATAAATGAAATAGAAAACAGAGAAAGTAAAAATCACTGGGGAAAAAGTTGTTTATTTGTAAACATCAGTAAAATGATAAACTTCTGGTAAAATTGACCAAGAGAAAATCCAAATTAGTAAAATCAGGAAGGTAAGAAATAACATATCCAACAAGATTTAAAAAAAAGACATTATGAGTAATTTTATTCCAATGAATGCAACATAGATGAAATGTAAAATCTCTTGAGTGATTTGTTACCAAAACTGACTCAAGAAGAAACAGAAAATTCCAGTCCATTATCAATTAAAAATATAACATTTATAATTAAAATTCTACTAAACAACAATAAAAAACCCTCCACATCTGTTTTACAGATCCTCTCAAATGGGATTGATTTTGGTACTCAAAGGGTGTGTGGTAATATCTAGAGATATTTTTAGTTGCCAGAACTCTGGGGAAGTACTACTAGTATCTAGTGGGTGAGGCCAGGGATGCTACTCAATATCTTATATTGAACAAGAAAGTACCCTCAATAATAATTATAAGACCTAAGATATCAATAGCTGAGACTGAGAAAACTTGGTTTACATAATCCCACTAGTAAAGTCTCTCAAACACTTAAGGTAGAAACACTAATTCTACACAAATTTTTTTGGAACAGAGGAAAGAAATAATTTCCAATTCATTCAAAATAACACTAATCTGATACCAAAATCAGATAAAGACATTAAAAAGAAAATTACAAACAAACTTGCTATAAAGTTTTTAAAAATATATATAATTATAGAGCAATATCTCAAATGAATATAGAAGTAAAAAGTACTTAACAAAATATTAGCAAAAAACTTGTGGTTTCTGGTCCAGCATGCAAAAGAGTTCAGAAATTGCCACTTTATTGTGGCAAATAAAAAGTAAAAAAAAAAATTTTTAAAAACTAACTTCTTAGATCCATCAGAGAAATGAGTTCACGGAGCACCTACTGTCTAATAGATCAATTGATACAGAGAATCACAATTTACCATTTGTGGGAACCATTGTCAGAGCTGGCAACCTGAACTGTAATTGACAAATTGCCAGTGAGTCAATATGGAAAGGTCTGGGAGAAAAAATTCCATGAAGACACACTTCTTTACATTTTTATGAGTTTTAGCTCAGGAACTCTTCCAAGTCCACACAGTGAATACTAGGAAAAAAGTATCTCTCCTGCTTATAGCAGTGTAAGGAAAGAGGAACAATTTTGAAATATTCTAGAACATTCTGTTCCTCTTAAACAAGGCCTGCGCTCAGGAGAAACTATTTTACCATAAGCAAACATGCAGGGATTTTATCAGAGTCAAACCTATCTGCCACTGTAATGCCCAAATCCAGCTCCCTCTTACCATCCACATGAAGTTTAAAAAAAAAAAAAAAAACACCCAACTTTCTCCCACCTGAGAAGCATTGGTGAAATTCAGAGTCCAGGGGCACAGGACCACCAAAAGACTGAGAACTAATCAAGGAAGTATCGAACTGTAGTATAATCAAACTACTCAGCACTATAAAGAAAAGGGCTATAAAGACAGGAAGGAAACTTAAATGTATATTACTAATAGAAAGGGTTAATTTGAAAAGGCAGAAAACAGCCTGACTCCAATTATATGACATTCTGGAAAAAGCAGAATGATGGAGACAAAAAATAGGTAAGTGAATGCCAGGGCTTAGTGAGGTAGGGATGAATCAAAAGGCAGAGTAGAAGGAATTTTAGGGTAGGGAAACTATTGTGTGCAATACTATAATGGTGGATATGTCTCTACCCATTTGTCAAAACCCATTTAATGTATAATACCAAGAGTGAATCCTAATGTAAATTATGATTTTAGAGTGATATCCATGTATCAATGTAACTTCACTGACTATAACAAATATACCACACTGATGAGGGATGTCAATAGTGGAAAAGGTTGTAAATATGCTGGGGCAGAGAATATATATAGAAACCCTCTATATTTTCTGCTCAGTTTGGCTGTGAATCCAAAACTGCTCCAAAACCTAAATTTCACCCATTTAAAGTATATGTAATACATATATACATACTTGTATACATATATACATACTTGTATATATACACACATACATGTATATGCAAACTGAATCCAAATATGTATAAAATGGATAATATATGACTCCTCAGAGTTTATCCCAAGAATACAAAGTTAGTTTAACAATAAGAAGCCTTTTACAATTTAATAAGAAAACAGATTGCATATGAGCTTTGCCTCATCTGAATGGATGACAAAACTAGACAGGCAGGTATCATGAGATACCTGAGACAAAAGCTCCAATCTCTAAATGATGGTTATCAGCTGTGCCTTCAAATTGTTTTCTACATATGTTGATTCCAATATTATACCAGTCCCCAAGCAAAGGTAACCAAGCACACAGAGAGATAAAATAGTATCTGCTAACAAAACTAGGAGCAACACTATTCAATATAGACAGACCTACATTATTTCCAGACATTGGAATTATACACAGGCTAGGAAACAACTATACTTACTATGTTTAAGGAGATAAAGGCCAAGCTTGAAATTTCAGCAGGGAACTGTAAACTGCAAAAAGTGATATAGCAGATTTGAAAAAGAATCAACTAGAACACAAGAATAGAAAAACAAAATTGACATTAAGAACTCAATGTATAGGGACAAGGGATTTGTATTCACTATGTAATTCGCTCTGTTTGGGAACCAGAAGAATAGGCTACAATAAATATTAATGTCCTAATTTGTAAACCCAAACTTTTCTGATTTAATTTCTACAATGCCTACAAATTCTTTTTTCTAATATATGTATTTGATGTCTTAGTACCTTACTTAAAAGTATTTTGGATAGAACCCAACTTTCAAATACTGTGATTAATGACCCTTCACTCTCTACCCTATATCCCTGATGTGAGTACCGCCTATTAACTAAACAAGTCTTATGCATTCCTATCTGCTCAGGGAACTTCTTCTAAGTGAAATGGCTTTCCCCATGTCTTATCCACCTGGTGAATTCCTACAAATATACTTCAAAACACAATTTACATGTCATCTCTGGACAGAATTAATCACTTTTACCTGTAGCCTCATATATTGCCCACGCTACTACTCTTCTCATCACACTATGTTAAAATTGTGTATCACCTCCTCCCTCATTATACTGGAATACTGCAAATGATACAACTGATTTATTTATATACTAAGAAACTGAATCATAATTTATATACCGGCAATATATGTTGAATAAATTATACAACTATTGAAGTTGAAAGTCAGACAATCTTAGAGAAAAATTTAAGACCAGTTCAAAAGTTTTATCCCTCAAGTTTTGCTTCGAGTTTGCTAATGTGCAGTCACCTAGTGAATTGGTAGTAAGAGTGTTCTACCACAATCTAATGCCTTGGGCTCTTTATAAAAGATGCACAGAAAGAAGGTGTAGTAGGAGGGAAATGTGAGAAAAGGTCAGACTACAGGTTCACAGGAAGGGAAGGCAAGAATTAAAAGTTTCTTTAGGAACTAAATACAGGAATTGGGAAAAGGAAAGAATAGAAGCTTCTCTTCCAAAAACAATGTCAAAGTCAAAATAACCTGATATGTATACACGGACTCAACCTTGAGTTTCAGTAGACAGTGAGACCACTCCTCCTAAAATGGTTAATGTTAAACCCACATCAGTAAGTAAATCCTCGTGTTGTAAACAGTTTATAGACAGAAAAACGTTTCAGAAATAGAATAAACTTCCCCATATGGACATTTCTACCACCTCAAGACCATGTCTGCTCAAGATAAATGGGCTCTTCTCCACAACTTGAGCTAAGAGCCAGGGAAATAATCAAGTTTGGAGTACAGAGGGTTGAACCAATTCTAATCCCTTTATTGGCATCAGAATTTTATTCTAGAATCTGTGAATTATGTGCAGTAAAACTAAAACCCATCCCACAAGTCAAGCTTAAAGGAAACCCTGGAGTGAAACATACCATCTCTCTCTGGCATACAGGAGTGCCTTAACAAACTTCATTTTGCAAAGTTATTTGCACAATTTTGTTTCTTTAATCTAATCTGAAACCTAATATAGAAGTCTGACATAAAGACAAAGTTTTAATATAACTTGATACTCAAACTATAGTGATGAAAACAACAAGTAGTATTTTCAAATTGCAAGCCCTTTCCAAGGCCAGTCTGTCTCTAATAGGGAAAAATTTCCTCCAAATCTTACCCTGCCCAATTTGTGAAAATTTACTATTTTATTCTTTTCCTTTTTAAAAAATAATTTAAACTTTTCCCCTTCTGCCTGATACTTCTCCTCACTCCGAGAAGCATAGGCCCAGAATGTTAGGAATTACTTTCTCAAACTTCTGACCGCACAAACTAACTTTTATGAAACCCATCTATTCACACATAGGAAAGATAGAGTAATTTATCATTAACTATAAATAAAGAATACACATGCAGCTGGAAAGGTAGTTATTCAACTAGCTTTTCAAGGCTGACAATATATTCAGGAAATAAAAATCAAAATAAAACATGCAAGGGTGTAACAATTTTTGGGACTTTTCAAAAATAAATTCCGAACATAGTTCAGTTGCTCCACAATTTAACAATGAAAGAAACAGTTAAAGCCTCAGTCTAATTTTACACCAAAGGTCTCTATATATCATCATAATTAAAGCCACCAAACTATTTCAAATGTTCTAATGCTATACCAATAAAGTTAATAAACAGAAAAGCTATCTCTAAAACTTCAAAAATATACTTAACTAATGCTCACAAAGCAAATGTATTCTAGTCCTTTCCATAATGACGTTACTGCAGAACAAAATTTCAAAGGCAAATGCTTAATGAGGAGAGTGACTTATGCTACCTTTAGAAAATTTGAAGTGCTCAGATTAAGAAATGAAGTGTCTTAAAACTTTCTGTACCTGTCAAAAATTAAACTAAAGCTTAAGCCAGAAAAAGATGACTGATGAAAAACTTGAAAGATCTGCTAAAGTACTATAATCTCATCTTCTCATTAAAGATGTCAATATGAAAACAGTGCCTAGCAAAAAAGATCATTTTCTAATGAAAGATTGTCAGTTTGACATAAATAGGGTATATTTAATATAGTATGCAATCATGTTACAATTATACATGACATGGCTCATTTGTGAAATCATGGCTCAAAAGTGAAATCTTTCTCACTTGCAATTTAAAAGTCATAAGATTTATGATGTAGTTGCATTCCAACTTCAGCCTATTAATTTAGAAAAAATAAAAACTTGGGTCAATTGAGCTACAATGTAACTGAAATGTATTTATAATTAATTGATGCAATTATTTACATGGCTCACCAACTGGTTTAAAAGGTCACAAGCAGGAATTTCACACCTGCAGGAGAACACATGTAATAATCCTCATAAAGTAATATTATGAATATTCATGATTTGGGAATTGATTGTCAAATTAAATGCCAAATTGAGTCAGTCTGACTTTGTTATTGCCTAAAATGGTTTTTATATTTCTTTACTGTTAACATGGAATTGTTAACACTAAAACTGATTACACCTTTAGTAAAACTGAATTGAATTTTTAAAAAAATATTTACCCTAAAAGTATCTTTTACTTTATATTAACATTGAAAAGCTATAGGTGCAAAAATGCACAAAGTTAAATTTAAAAATATATATACATATCTCGTGACTTTATTCTTGAATTATAGAAAAATATATCTAACACCATATATGTAAAAAGATAGACACATAAAAATAAATATGTGATTTCTGTACAAAACATGAGTTTAGAAAGGTCTAAAAATATGAAGGAGAAATAATGAGACATATCTTCCTATGTGTTAAATTTTAAATAAAAAATATAACTGTCACTTGCATAATTAACAATAGAGAAAAAAGCTTATAATTAAATCTTACTTTTCTATATAGTTTATAATCTTATAAGTGTCTTTCCACTTAAAAAAAAATCTTGCCCTAGTACATAATTATACCCATAGTTAGAAATATTACAACTCCTCTCTGAATATCTGTTTTTATAAATTATTCCTATGAAATAATGCAACTACTAAAATTTACCAATAAGTCTCACTATTTTGCCACTCAAAAAGCAAAAACTTAGGTCAATTGAAAACTCAACGGAATTTACTTTTTCTTAGTATTTCTGGTGTTGCCTCACACTTTTTCAGGCAGTTTTACATTGGAATTACTAGCTACCTTCATATTCTACATTCTTTGTGTGTGTGTGTGGAGATTACTTTTTTATTTTAATTAAAGATTTATTTATTTATTTATTTATACAAGCACTGGGTACAGTCAGAAGCGCAGGAGGGTGAGAGAATTCACCAGAGCCAGAGCAGGGAGCAGAGCAGGCAGAAGGACCGAAGTACACTGCTGAGTGGAGCAGCGGGCTGCCCACCATGCGGGACCATCCTCTGGTGGCCGGGGAGCAGCCGGGGATCAAACTGGCACTGCAGAGGCAGCGAGCAGCTTCACAACCCAGCGCTCAACCGCTGCGCCACCGGGGAGGCCCCCATTTTCTACATTCTTAATAGCAAAGATGCTACCCTAAAACATAACAGAAGTGTCCTAACACTCTTCATGGCTTTTCTAGAATATCTTAATTTTTTATTTCCTATTCCACAATTATAATCTATTTGAAAGTATTTCAAACATAGTTTTATAGTCATGTCTTACAGAATTTAAAAACCAGGTTGTGAAAAAAGTTTTCAAGTGAAAGAGACACAAAATTCTAAGATTTCCATTACCATAAATAGAAAATCATGCCCACCTTGAAAATAAAAATTGCAGGGAAGAAGAGAGCAAAGTCTGACAAACAGGGAGTAGAGGAGTCACACAGAAGTAGGGAAAGAAAAAGGCAGAAACATGTTCCATTACATAGTGAAAAAGATAGTGATTATAAGGGTAGAAAAGGGTCAGAGTAACAGTGACCTCACTATCCATCACACCTTCCCAAAAACAAACACAATCATGGAAAGACACCAAAATGCACACTAATACCTACACAAGAATGCAAAGCTCAAAAACTAGAAGTAGCTGGGAGAAATGATCATCTGTAAAAAGGCCAGAGAAGGGACCATTGAGGACAGCAACTGCTTTTCCACTCCACTCCTCTTCCATACAAAAATAACATCTGTTCTTTTCCTGACCATTCTTCAAATTTTCACAAAATACATATAAAAAAGAATGTACGGCCTTGGCTTATCAAAATGAAAATAGCACATTAAGAGCATAAGATATGAGTAAACAGATAATTATCCAACCAGTAACTGATCTAGAAACCTACATATCACATAATGTTAGTTCACATGATATAAAAGTCTATGCACATGCATATTTAAAGTAAACTACCATAAAGAATACAAACCTTCAATAGCAAGACCACTGTTTTGCCTCTAGAGGGCGAACTTGGTCTTCCGGAAAACTCTAGACAAGAGAAGTTATTTTCAGACTTTACCAAAAAAAAAAGTTAAGTTAAAACTTAAGATGATGAGATAGCAAAGATTCCCAACATTTCCTAGTTAATAATGTCCTTAGTGTCTCAGTACTTTTTTATTATGTCCCCTAAACCAATAGAAATATCTAATCACTATTAAATAGTTATGTCCAATAAAATAAGGATCGAAGTCCTAATGCTGAGTAACCATTTGAAATTTAATACACATAAATAGAAAGGGAAAAAAAGTTTTAGTTCAACTGTAAATAACCACAATTACTAATTGGGTGTGTATATCTGATGTGTACTTTTAATTTCACAAGTCTTGAAATCAGATTGAACACCATTTTACCCTCCTTTCCTGTTCCATACTGACACTTGCACAAAATAATTATCGCAACCTCAAAAAATATCAGATTCACAAAGATATAATGCCACAGAAAATAATATAGTGCCATTTAATAATGAAAGTGTATACTACCTCAAGCTAACAATATATACCTATCCAAAGTTGTGGGGCATCACTGAATTTCTCCTGCACAGTAGCTGCAAAGTAGATGTGCATGTGCTTGGGCACACAGCTTGAGAAGCACTGCAGTTTAAGTTCCATAGTCATAGTTTTATGTACCATTCTATACATGTACTTGGTAAATAAAATTAACTGTAACAACTGGTTAAAGATCTAAAAATTATTTTCTTATATATTTTTGAAGTTAATTAAATGAATACTATTAAATCCTTAAAGAACGAACTTCTATAATTTGAATGACGATTACTGGCTCGATATGATTATTTTTATAAATGCTGGTTGTATTCAATCTGTCCACTACAACTGAGAAGAGAAAAAGTTTATAAAACATATGCTTTTGAACATCTCTGAACTTAAATATGCTAGACATTGATTCATTCCCACTGCTTCTATGTCTCACTGATCTCCTAGGGACTGAGGGGCAAGTTAGGAGTAAGTAAGACTGAAAATTCTTAAGAACTCAAGTATCGAAGTATCAATAAAATGATCAAAAGCATTGGCTCCTAAATTACCAGAGAGAGATCTATCTACTCACCCATCTCATCAAGGCATTGGTTTAGGCAAAACACCAGAAAAGTGACCAAGAAAATAGTTTAGCTTCATAGTCTATCACCCAGTTTTTGCTTTCTATTGTTTCATCAGTTTACAACTACCTATATTCATAAAATCTATGCCAATGGAAAATGTTACCATGTTCAGTTAGAATTTTTACAACCACAAAAGATAATTAAAAATGTGTCCTGTTTATTTAAAGAAATAGACCTTAAGATTACCACAAATACTGTAGTCTAAAACTGTGCATGTAGGAAAACATGAATGAAAATTACCAAGAAAAGAACATTTGAAAAGCTAAGATAAACTGTATAGCTATATTAGTACTTACCTGCTGAATGATTTTGGAAGTTTTCTGAAGATTTTCTCTTGGAGGGACTTTACCAAATAATTTCCAACCAGGGGCACTATGGACAACTGATTTGAGATCCTTTGTCCTTTTTGGAAAAAGGTTTCTGAAACACAGAAAAGTTACATGAATTTTGTTTTTGGTTACCAGGGAAGTACTTAATTTTTAAAGTATGTTTATTCCCATGACAAATACAAAAGTTTTAACTAAAATAATTTTTACTACTTGTGACTGTTAAATTAATAAGACTCAATTACAAACACCTGGCTTATGCAGGCATACTAGGAAAATCAGCAGAGAGATATTAAAGAAATAAGCAAATATGGAGAAAAATAACAGCCATAAATAAAATGGACATATTTGCACTGAACAGCTATATAGTTTACATGTACTTGACAATAAAAGAACTTAAAAACAAAAAAGTTAAAGAGAACCTATGCATCCATGCATCTACCGAACCCCCATGGTGTTAATGTGTATATGTAAATTGTTTTTCTGAGGATAGCCAAGGCTCTTCTTGCTTCTGCATCTCCATACTGCTTGTTAACAGAATGGATGCTATCTGACCACATGTTAGCCAATCAATTTCTCTCTCTTTATAGTTGCCTTTGTAAATAAAACTTTGTTTTCTATTTAAAAAAAGAGTAACCAAGGAAGAAAGTACCTCTCACTGAAAATTTTTAAAAACCTGCACAAGATTAAGGATTTTTTTTACCTATTACCTTTATGTCTTAACAATCAAACAAGGTATCTATTGCACATGTAAACAAAGATGAAATTCAAAACACATATTCATAAACACACCATGGGCCAATCAGAAAAGTACTGATGAATCCACCTGGAAAATCAACCCATCATCTTAAGGTGTGATATAAATGATTATAAAGAAAATTTTGGTTTGTACAAATAGCTCCAAACTGAAGTCCCAAATAAACTGGCTTATCTACACTCAAAATATCATGCAAATATGGAAATATAGTGATAAGGAGGTAAACTTATAGCACAAAATGTTCAGGCTTTTCTTTAAAGTTAGAGAGATATCAGTGGACTCCTACAAAATCATGCAGGTTAATAAACACTCATTTCCTTGGTGAGCAATGGAAGAAAACAGATGACAATGTAGAGTAATTTCATTTACAACACTCAAGAGTTCATCTCAAGAGACCATATAAAATAACTCAATTGTCTATGAAATCTGTAGGTTAGAGATTTTCAATAATGCTTACACTGAAAACTGGTATATGTATAACAATTTCAAGTCTCAAAGGATGACCTATAAATTTAAACAAGGCTTGATATCTTGTATGCTGTTTATCAATTTATTACCCTGCAGCTCTATAATCACCCTGCAATATAAGCTCTGTAATACAGACAGAATTTCTGAGCTTTTCCTTTAATATAAACATAAAATTGTTAAGCTTTCTCAATAGAAGGCACTGAAGGGACATTAGAGAAGTAAAGGGCTCTCCTCTGGTTTCTAACTGCTGCAGAGTAGGTTAGTGGTATGAGGTGTGAGGATGTAGGCTGGCACCCAAAGTTTTCCTGCCAGTGTCAATGTACCTATCCCCTGTATAAGCCCCATCAGCACACCTGTATTTCCCAGAGAACTCTCTCCAAGTCTTGCTCCCTCGATAAGCCCTTATGTGGTCTGCCTACACTCCAAGTATGCTATCCAGTCATGCTAATGACAGGAAAAAAATGTCACCATGGTTTATGCAAAGAATTCTTGAACATGACATCAAAAGCATGATCCATAAAAATTTTTTAAAAATTGACAAAGTCACACCTAAAACTTAATGTTGTAAATCAATGTTACCAAAATAACAGAAAAAAATTGATACTGAACTTTATCAAATTAAAAACATTCATAATTCAGAAGACATCACTATCACAAAATGAATGAATAGGAAGATGTAGAGCATTCCTTCTACCAAAGTAAAAACTGAGCTGGAAAGAGCAGCTGAAATTAACCATTTTAGAACTTAGAAGGTACATGAAGGCAGAGGCTACTTCTGTTCCCTCATAAGGGACCAGGATGTATGAACCAACTACCATCCTCATTTCTCATTCTCCCCCTCCTGTAACAGTGGTTCCTAGAATGACTGACACTACCAGGAAGGAACAGTTGGGACTATGCCCTTCTAAAGTTAGAGGTTGGACATTTTGGTTGTTCTGGCAGTGCCCTAAGGACCAACAGACACCATTTAGTTTCAGTCCTTTCTGCAGCAGCAACTTCCACTGTCAGAACTTGAGAGAGATAACATTTTTTGTCCCTCTGTTTAGAACCACACATTTAAGGAAATCTTTCTCAGATCACAAGATGACTACAGAAATAATAGAAGAAAATTGTGACCCACTTCGAAAGTATTACACACTTTTTTTTAAAAAAAAAGATTTATTTATTTATGCCTACAAGAACTAGGATACAGGCCAGAGGTGTGGGCAGTGAGAGGATTCACCAGAGACAGAGTGGGGAACAGAACAGGCAGATTGACTGAAATGCACTGCTGAGGAGAGCAGCAGGCGAGTCAGGAGAGGTCTGCTGCGCCATGTGGGTAGCTCCCTGGCCAGGAATCGAACTCGTGCTTCAGTGGCTGCAGATGGTTTCATAGGTTGTGTCTTAACCCCTAGTGCCACCAGGGAGGCCCAAGTATTACACACTTTTGCTGTATACACTAACGTTGAATCATTATGCTGTACAAATGAAACTAAAATGTTGATTATACTTCAATAAAAGATGTAATAAAGAGTAATCTCATTATCAACAACCCACTACACACTCTAAGGAACTAGAAAAGAGCATACTAAATCCAAAGCTAGAATATAGCAAATTTAATAAAAAACAGAGTGAATAAATGAAAGAGAATGGTTAAATAACAAAGAAAACTTTAAAAAACAAAAGGTTGTCTCTGGAAAAATTAACAAAATTGACAAACTTTAGCTAAGTATAAGATTCCAATTACTAAAAGCAAAAATTAAAGTACATTACTATCTATTATCACCACAACTATCTATGCAAATACTACAAATAATTATTTACAATCAAATCAGATAAGTAAAATGGGAAAAAAATCTAGAAATATACTTACACCAAAATGGTAGTATGATCCAAGAAGACAAAATCTGAATAGACTTAGAAAGAGATTATCAGTAATCAAAAATCCCCCAACAAAGAAAAGCTGAAGACCAGGTAATGTGATTGGTGAAATTTATCTAACATTTAAAGAATACCACCAATCTTTGTCAGCTGAAAAACTCATTACAGGAGACAAGTATCACACTGATACAAAGACACATAAAGACAGTACAAGAAAACTACACACCAATATCCGTTATGCACAAATCCCTTAGCCACAAAAATTCTCAACAAAATGCTAATAGAGAATTTAGCCGCTATTATAAGGATTATATACTACAATCCAGTACAACTTATCCATGGAATAAAAAGATGGCTCAATATGTTGAAATCAATCAAGACAATTCACCAAAGTAATAGAATAAAGGGTTAAACACAATCATTTTAAGTGATGTAGGGAAAAAAATGACAAAACCTGACTCTTCTGTGACAAAAGGATCCTTTTACAATATATAATAATTAACTCAAAATGAACCAAAAGATCTAAATTTAAGGGTCAATAAAACTCTTAGAAGAAAACACAGAGGCAATGCTTCATGATCTTGGGTTTGGCAATGGTGTCTTATGTATGCCAAAAGCAAGGACAATAAAAGAAAAAAATGATAAACTGAATTTCATCAACATTAAAAACTTCTGGGCATCAAAAGACACAATGAGAGTCAAAAGACAACTCACAGAACAATAGGAAATTATGCAAACATTTATCTAAGAGTCCAGTATTCAGAACATCTAAAGAGCTCCTACAACAATAAAATCCAATTAACAAATGCATAAAGGACTTCCAACATTTTTCCCAAGAAGATCTAGAAATGGCCACAAAGCACATGAAAAGATACTCAATATTCTTAGTCATTGGGAAAAAGCAAATCAAAACACTTATTAATCATACCCATTAGCATGGCCATAATTTATTTTTTTTTTTTTTTTTTATTTTTTTATTTATTTTTTTTTTTTATAGAGGCATGCTTTATTTATTTGTTTGCTGGTTTGTTTGTTTATACATGCACTGGGTACAGTCAGAAGTGCGGGAGGGTGAGAGAATTCACCAGAGAGCATGGCCATAATTTAAAAAGAAAGTTAAAACCAAAATAACTACTATTGTAAAGATGCACAAGCACCTGGTGAACATGTAAAATGGTACAGTCATGGCGAAGATCATTTTGCTGGTTCCTCAAAATATGAAATGTAAAATATCTGAATGACCCACAACTCCAAACATATAGACCTGAAAGAATTAAATACTGGTGTTTGAATAAAAATGTGTATACTAATGTTCATAACAGCATGATTTACAATAGCAAAGAGGTAGAAACAATGCAAGTATCCATTAATAGATGGTTTGATAAACGAAATATGGTATATGCACGTGTTATGAACTGAACTGTGTCTCCTCAAAATTCCTATGTTGACATTCTCTCAGTCCCTTATAACATGACTATATTTTGACAAGAGTGACTTTAAGGAGGTAATTAAGGTTAAATCAGATCTATTGGTTGGCCCTAATACAATCTGACTGGAATACACAAGAGGAAGAAACATCAGGGAGACAATTCAAGAAAAGAGGTCAACTGAGGACACACAGGGAGGCAGCCATCTACAAGTCAAAAGGAGAGGCCTCAGAGAAAACTGAACCTTCAGACAGCTTCCAGAGTTAGCAAATAAAGTTCTGTTGTGGAAGTCCACCGGTCTGTGGTATTTTGTCATGATACCCCAACCAATGTAATGCAGCATACAATGGAATATTAATCAGTCATAAAAAAGGAATTAAGTTCTGATACATGAGGTAGTATGGGTGAACTTTAAAAACAATATGCTAAATTTAATAAGCCAGATAAGAAGAGAGAAAACATTAATAAATAGAATCAGAAATGGGGAAGAAATCACCACAGATAGCACAGAAATACAAAGAATTATAAGAGATTACAATGAACAATTATACAATAAATCTGATAACCTTGAAACAATGGACA